GATTCTACAACCTCCCTAGGCAATTTATTCCAGTGCTTAACCACTCTGACAGTTAGGAAGTTTTTCCTAATGTCCAACCTAAACCGCTCTTGCTGCAATTTAAGCCCCTTGCTTCTTGTCCTATCCTCCGAGGTTAAAAAGAATAATTTTTCTCCTCCTCCTTGTAACAACCTTTTATATATTTGAAAGCTGTTATCATGTCCCCTCTCAGTCATCTCTTCTCCAGACTAAACAAACCCAGTTTTTTCAATCTTCCCTCATAGGTCATGTTTTCTAGACCTTTAATAATTTCTGTTGCTCTTCTCTGGACTTTCTCCAATTTGTCCACATCTTTCCTGAAATGTGGCGCCCAGAACTGGACACAATACTCCAGTTGAGGCCTAATCAGCATGGAGTAGAGGGGAAGAATTACTTCTCGTGTCTTGCTTACAATACTCCTGCTAATACATCCCAGAATGATGTTTGCTTTTTTTGCAACAGCGTTACACTGTTGACACATTTTTAGCTTATGATCCACTGTGATCCCCCAGATCCCTTTCCACAGTACTCCTTCCTTGACAGTCATTTCCCATTTTGTATGTGTGCAACTGATTGTTCCTTCCTAAGTGCAGTGCTTTGCATTTGTCCTTATTGAATTTCATCCTGTTTACTTCAGACCATTTCTCCAGCTTGTCCAAATCTTTTTGAATTTTAATCCTACCCTTCAAATCACTTGCAACCCTTCCCAGCTTGGTATCGTCCGCAAACTTTATAAGTATACTCTCTATGCCATTGTCTAAATCATTGATGAAGTTAAGTCTAAAATCAGAAAGAAACTCACATCCAGTGATTTGTTGGTTTTAAAGAACTAACTTTTGGACCTTAGAGATCCAGCATCAGTTTATACAGTATGTACTTAGATTGTTAAAAAATTACAGGATGACCCTACCTCCAAAATGTTTTATTTTTATCCTTTAAAATATAAAAGAATCTGGTATGATTCCGATGGGTACAATATTCAGAAACAGCTTCAGATCATTGCAAAGGCTGCCAGAAAGAATGATTCCCCAGTTTCTATTAAGAAATTAGTTTATCCTCAGAAGGGAATATTAAAAAATGCTGAATAAGGAAAAATTGGAACACCCAAAATTGGAAGTAACCTGAATTTGCAATCACAGAGAAAAATTCATCTTTATTTTGGAAGTTGGTGGCAATGGGCTTTGACAAGACAGGAAGGGGATTTCATCCCAGCAGAAGTTGTACGGACAATTTGATTGGTGGGCCCCTGTGTGAGCAAAACTTTTTATTAATATAAAAAATACAGGAGTTTTCTCCTCAGATTGGTCCACAGGTATTATTGTTCCACTTTATAAAAACAGTGACAGAAATGATCCTGGGAATTACTGCCAGTTAGCCTCTTACATGTAGTTTTTAAAATTTACACTAGATATCTCCTGGGGTGAGTAGAATATTGGGCAGAGAACTGTAATTTATTTGCCCAGGAATAAACAGGCTATTTGCCAAGGAATAAGCCTGAATAGCCACTCTACCATTGCTAACTGCTTTGTCCTCTCATTGATTCACAAATATTGTTCCTTCAAGCAGGGAAAATGTTATGCAGCCTTTGTCGACCTGAAATTGGCTTTGGATTGACAGAGGTCATCTCTTGGAGAAACTTGCATGAGCTAGTATACTAGCTAAGCTATTTTATCTCCTGAGAGCCCTGCACAGCCAAACTTTTCATGATGGTTAATGGGACAAACATATAGATGGTGTAAAGAAGAAAGCCTTAAATTCTATACAAGCAGTGCTATGTTTCCCTGAGGTCTATGGGAGCAAATCTAATCACCCCAGTTGTAGCGTTTTCATGGCTAAAGTCTGTGCCCAAGTACTATATCGCATGGGAATTTGGGGCTGGAAGAGTCTTAGGGAGTCAGGGTTGAGTAAAACAGCATTTTAAAGAAAATGCTCCAAATTACACCCCTGCTGCTTTACCCAGGGCAAAGGTAGGGGAATGTGCTATTTCGACCAAAGCCTTTATATTAATTATTGGCTCACATTTGTCAAATGAATCTACAGTGCCTTCTAAGTTTATGTCTAGAGGAACAGCTCAAGAAGATACATATTCTAAAGTTCGCTTGGCTGTTTTCAAATTCACTGTTCTCTCCATTCTTTGGGCTTTTCAGAACTAGACTTAGGACTGTCGGCAAAAGTGTGGAAACTTTAATTAAGCTTAGAGCAAAAGATGCCTGCAAACAACTGGATGTGGCATTTGTTCATACAACAGATATGTCTCCTTGGCTTTTTCACTTAAAGAATATTTTTGATTAAAAGTATTTGCTCTGTAAAAAAACCAAAAGAAATTGTATTTTTCAATTCACCTAATACAAGTAGTGTACTGCAATCTCGTTATCATCAAAGTGAACTTCCAAATGTAGAATTATGTAAAAAACCTGCATTCAAAAATAAAACAATGTACAATTTTACAGCCTGCAAGTCCACTCAGTCCTACTTCTTCTTCAGCCAATCGCTCAGACAAACAAGTTTGTTTACATTTGCAGGAGATAATGCTGCCCGCTTCTTGTTTACAATGTCACCTGAAAGTAAGAACAGGTGTTCTCATGGCACTGTAGTAGCCAGCATCAAAGATATGCACGTGCCAGATGTGCTAAAGATTCATATGTCCCTTCATGCTTCAACCACCATTCCAGAGGACATGCGCCCATGCTGAGGGATTCTGCTCGATAACAATCCAAAGCAGTGTGGACCAACGCATGTTCATTTTCATTATCTGAGTCAGATGCCACCAGCAGAAGGTTGATTTTCTTTTTTGGTGGTGCGGCTTCTGTAGTTTCCACATTGGAATGTTGCTCTTTTAAGAATTCTGAAAGCATGTTCCACACTTTGTACCGCTTAGATTTTGGAAGACACTTCTTAAACCTTGGGTCAAGTGCTGTAGCTATCTTTAGAAATCTCACATTGGCACCTTCTTTGCGTTTTGTCAAATCTGCAGTGAAATTGTTCTCAAAATGAACAACATGTGCTAGGTCATCATCCGAGTTTACTATAACATGAAAGATATGGCAGGATGCGGGTAAAACAGTCACAAATTTAATTAATGCATAATAATAATGTTTAGCATATCTGGCATGTAAATACCTACAAAAGTGCCATGTAAATGCCTGTTCTCACTTTCTGGTGACATTGTAAATAAGAATCAGGCAGCATTATCTCCTGTAAATGTAAACAAACTTGCTTGTCTTAGTGATTGGCTAAACAAGAAGTAGGACTGAGTGGGCTTGTAGGCTCTGAAGTTTTACACTGTTTTGTTTCTGAGTGCAGTTATGTAACAAAAATATCTACATTTGTAAGCTGAACTTGCATGACAAAGATTGCACTACAGTACTTGTATGAGGTGAATTGAAAAATATTATTTATTTTATCATTTTTACAGTGAAAATATTTATAATAAAAATAATATACACTTTGATTTCAATTACAACACAGAATACAATATATATGAAAATGTAGAAAAACATCCAAAATATTTAATAAATTTCATTTGGTATTCTATTGTTAACCGTGTGATTAAAACTGTGATTAATCACGATTAATTTTTTTGAGTTAATCATGTGAATTAACTGCGATTAATCGACAGCCCTATTATGTTCTTATACAAGAGATTTTTTACTTAATTTCAAAACACTTTACAGTAGTGGATAAACATAATTATCCCATTTGCCAGATGCACAGAGTGGTTAAGTGATTTGCCCAAAATCACACCTTGATGGGAATGGAACTGAGGTCTCCTGACCACCAGTTCTGTGCCACTGGAGCAATAGTTTGAGATGTATGTGAGCATAAAAGGATGGGAGTGCAAGACACCAAGTGATCACATAGTGGCAGCAGACAGTAAGGGAATGAGGAAATGTGGCTGCCAGCCCTGAGAACTACTTCAGTTCAGGTCACCTATGTATAAACTGATAGGTCACTGGTACATAGGAGAGTGTGAGATTTCAGCCCTTAGGGTAGGTCTATATTTACCTCTTGGTCCGGCGGTAAGCAATCGATCTTCTGGGATCGATCCCAGAAGTGCTCACCGTCGACGGGGGACCCGCGTCTGGACCCGCGGTAAATTCAAACTAAGGTACTTCGACTTCAGCTACGTTATTCACATAGCTGAAGTTGCGTATCTTAGTTTGAAGTGGGGGGTTAGTGTGGACCAGGCCTTGGAGAGGAGCACATTGACTCCTCTCATTGCTTCTCTTCCCATAGGTATTTCTAGTGTGCGACTGGTAGGTGGGAACAACCCCTGCGCTTGGCGGCTGGAGTTGCTGCATGAAGGTACCTGGGGCACAGTGTGTGATAAGCACTGGGATGCTCACGACTCTGCGGTAGTGTGCAAACAACTGGGGTGTGGATCTGCATTGGAATCTCCATGGTTCAGCTTTGGACCAGGCTCTGGTCCTGTGTGGCTGGAGGCCACATTCTGCCGTGGTATTGAGCAATATCTCTCACAGTGTCTGAACCATGGGATGGGGCAGGAGTCCTGCAGTCATGCTCAGGATGTTGGAGTAATATGCTCAGGATCAGGTAACTCCATTCTTTGCTATTAAACTCATATGGTTTAGTGCAGACAGCCATGAGACAATTCTCCTTCCAACTTGCTCACCCTCCAGGAACCACGAGTGCTGCTGTGGAGGCTGAGTCTGTTCCCTCCTATGGGTTAGAGCTCTGCACTGCCATGCAGAAGATACAGATTTGGGTCATCTGTGCCAGGTCTCTAGCTTTCCCTGGCCAGGGCCAATGGAGGTTGGGAGTGCCAAAGCAGATGGGCCTGGGGGACCTAGAGTTGGGCACTCTGAGCTGCCTTATGGGAGATCAGGATTCATTCAGCAATTCTAGCCTCCTGCTGTCCTCCTACACCTGCAGCAGGTGTTGGGAGAGCTTAGAGGCTGAGTTGGCTGCCTCCTAGAGACACATGATGTTGGAGACCAGGGCTCAATTCCCAGTCCTGATCTCTCACTTCCCATGGAGAAAACACTGCAGCTGCTCCCTACTCTGACACAGGGCCAATATCAGTCTGCAGTACCTGTCCCCAACCTTGCCCTTTCTTCTGCAGATATCTCTGGTGTGCGCCTGGTAGGTGACCAAGGCCCCTGTGCGGGGCGTGTAGAGGTATTTCTCCAGGGCAGGTGGGGCACTGTGTGCAGCCTGGGCTGGAGCACCACATCCTCCTCCATCCTCTGTGGCAGTCTGGGCTGTGGACCACCTCTAGAGACATCATCTATGCCAGCATCAGTGTCAGGCCACTCATTGGCACTCCATGGCCTACTCTGTGGCCCTGCAGACCGCAACATCTCTCAGTGCAGCTCGTGGCTGTCGGACAGGAAGCTCCACGCTGATGCAAATGCCGTGGTGGTGGTCTGCTCAGACACAGGTGTGACACAAGGATTTGTCTTGATCCCACCCCAGAGCTCTGTGGTTGAGGAACCCCTTATTATCCCCAGTCCAAGGCAAAGCGGGCTTGGGGAGGGTAATGGGGGAGAAGGTCGGAATGAGTTCCTGAGTCCGATAGCCACAAAGAGGGGAACATAACCAGGATAGTAAACCCTTGTGGGGGGCATGTCCCTCTCCTTCCTGCCTCTCACCAGTGTCAGAAAGCCTATGGATTTAGTGTGTGGGTGCTGAGTGGTGCTGGTGGCCTGTGATCTACAAGTGGTCAGACTAGATGATCTGGTGGTCCTCTATGACTCTATGGGAGGACTCTAGGGTAGCAGAGTAAGCCTGGGAGAGGGGAATCTTTGGGGAAGGGATCTGAGAGCTGGGGGGTGGGGGAGTTGTGTGATTGGGAGAATGGCTCTAATATTGCTCTTCACAGCCCTGGAAACCCTGTGGTTTGGGTTCTTTGTATGAAGCGCCAGGAGGAGGAGGGAGTTTTAAAGGAGTGACGGCTGAGTTTGGGGACTGAAGGTTTGCCAGGGCTGAATTTTTGGATGCAAATTTTGAGTTGAGTGAGAAGAATTATGGGTGCAGTTGAAATTTGGGGTGAAGGTTCTAGTTTTGGAGTGACGGTTTTGGCTTAGTTTATTCTTGCTTCCACCCTGTCCCTGCTTTCTTAGATGGACTTTTCAAAGTGAAAATATTTATCCTGTGTTAGTGTGCATGGAATGCTAACTAATGGCCCTTGGGTTTGTCCTGCTGACTCCTGTTCCCCTTTATGTTTCCCCAGAGGATTTGTCAGTTGGTCCATCCCACCGCCATGTCTTCTACTTTTGGAGCTCCTGGATTTTCCGCCTGTTGATCGCCATGGCTGTGTTTGTGTCCATTCATCTTGGGACCCACCTGCTGCTTGTCTCCCAGAAACAAAATTAAGATCACAGTCAAAGCTCCTGGGGGGACTGGATGACTCAGAACACCCAGGGGATGGGATATGGAGCTTTTCATCTCTTGGTCCCCTGTTTCGCTGTAGCCCCAGGTCAAGAAGTCTGGGTAGTTCAGTATGATTACAGAATGGAATATGACTAAACCATTTTGCTTGGAATCATGGGAGCCTAGGTTAGTAGAGCTGCTCAGGGACTAGAATTTTTGCTCTGTGAAAAATTTTAAAATTTGTTCTCATTCTAAATCAGAATTTTCCACAGAACACAACTAGAATGTTTCATTTCAATAAAATCAAAAAGTTTTGTTCAAATTTTGACTTTTAAAACAAAATAAAATAAATTTTGATACAAAACACTGTTTTAAATTAAAAAGTCAAAACATTTCATGTAAAAGCATTTTTACATTTTATTAAAATGAAATTTTGTCCAAACTGACATGTTTCCACTGGAAGTTTCAATTTTGACAAAATAGCATTTTAAAATAGAAAAAATTCTAATGGAGAATTTTTGACCAACTCTAATCATGGGTAAATTCCCTCAGCAGCCATTAGATTCCTATAGGCCTGGGTACCATACTGTGACCGGGGTCCTAGTGGGGGCCAGCTGTGGTCACTCAATTAGGGTGAACTGCAAAGAATGGGGCACACAATCCCCAAAAAGCTGGTGGATATTCCAATACTTAGATTTACCAAGCCAGCATGAAACAGCTTCTTTATTATCCTACTGGTTACTCAGAAGTCCAAACAATACAGATCCCTTATAGTGACCCAACCTCAGGCCTCCATCAAGGTACCTAAGTCAAACATGATGATTTCTGAAAATCTTGTTTCATCAAATAAAAGAAAGGGTCCTACCAATCCCAAAGGATCAGACACATTACCTCCCAGGTTAATGAATGTTTCAGATCTTACCCAAATACACGCTACAACCAATTCTTATTAACTAAACTAAAATTTATTAAAAACCAAAAGAGCGAGAGAATGGTTAAAAGATCAATATACATACACACATGAGTTCAATCCACTGAGGTTTAGATTCATAGCAGAGATGACAGGTTTCAGAGTAGGAGCCGTGTTAGTCTGTATCTGCAAAAAGAACAGGAGTACTTGTGGCACCTTATTGACTAACAAATTTATTTGAGAATAAGGTTTTGAAGAAGTGGGCTGTAGCCCACAAAAGCTTATGCTCAAATAATTTTATTGCAGAGATGGTGAGCTTTATAGTTTCAAAGAGTTCCTTTAGAATTCAGTTCATAGGTTATAGTCCAATGTCCAAATATCATATTCAGGGCATACCAGCATAATTGAGACCTCAGTCTTGTGACTCAAACTTCCCCTAATGAAGCTTAAGCAGATCTGAGATTAACAGGATCAGGACCCAAGGGTCTTTTTAGACAGTGTTCTAGCATCCACTTGACCACACAGTCCTGGTTAAACAATAGACTTTTGATGTAACCTTTTGATTTCTAAATACCACCAGTAATTAGTTACACAAATTAACATAGGGCAATTTATCCATTAGGCAGTCTATCACAAACTTCAAAGAGACATATAGACAATGACATAATTGTACCCAAGAGACATCCAAATGTTAATATTCCCTTTTGATCTCTGAATCCATAGTTATAATGACAGACAGGAACTGTCTGTTTATGGGTAGCATTTAAGATACACACCATTAATATTACTTCTAAAATATAGGTTTGCATTTCAAAGTTCTAGCCTATTTAGCATTAATGGCCCTAATTATAATTTGCATACTTTTCTAACATGACTTTAAAGGTGAGCTTTAGGTCATCCAGCCTGCAAGCTGTTTAACCCTTTCTAGCCATGCGTCACACATATCATTAGCAAATATGACGTTTCTGGGTTTGGTGAGGCCAGCTGGAGGAAGCAGAGAGTGAGAAAGGCGGGATGTAGTTTCTAAAGATAAAGAGGGCTACTCCAGGAAGCCAACGTGTTTTGTGTTTTTATCGTGATTAGTAGAAAAGACACAGGTTCTCAGAGCAAAGACTATTGCAGTTTTATTCACCATGGCCAGATATCCCAGTCTGCAGCATCACAACTCTAGCAGCCCAGAAGCATAAGAACTGGTGGCCTTGTAATTGTTATTCTAGCTAATTTAACTGCAAGTGCTGTTCTTTCTATGTTTAAATCAATGTTGACTCTTCCTAAATTAATTGCCTCTCCTACTGTGAGTTCCTTAGGAATATTATACTAAAAATTGATTTCCTTTTCCCCGTTTTCAATGTGTCTTCTTTTCATTGTCAGTGGCGTCTTATTCTTTTGCTCTTTTTAATATTTTAACTTTATCAAAACTCCTCTTAGTCAAGTTCTTTCCAAATTAAACTGTTGTGCTGTTAATCTGTTAATCCTGACTCCTTTAAATCCCCCCTGGCATACATATGCACATGCAAACACATCTCTCATTTTTGTTGCCCTTCTCCAAGCCTGTTTTATTTCTACTATATCTGCTTTTTCTAAGAAGAGAGCAAGCCTGGAGGAAGTATTCAAAGGGTATGACCCTAACTCCTTCCAAAGTCAATGGGAGGTTTGACAAGGAATTAAATGGGTGGAGGTTCCATTTTAAAGTGAGGATACATGCTACTGAGGCCTGGTTTTCAGTTTGCTCTTAAATGGACCAGCAGTTACATTGGTGTCATTTTGTAGGTCACCTCCATTGGCTGATCCTGAGAGCTGGTGAGCACCCTCAATTCCCATGCACTTCCATAGCAGTTGGGAACACTCAACAGCTCTCAGGAGGTGGTCAACATCTTGCAGAATTGGGCCCCAAATGAGTGACTTTCCCCTACAATTTTGCTGCACCCAGAAAAATTTTAAAAATCCAGTTGTTGAATCTCCACTTGCACTGTATGTATATGCAATTGTTCCTATTTTGCAAATGACAGAATCTCTGGGCCCAGTTCTCCTCTCAGTGACACCAGCATATCTGCTTTGACTTCAACAGTGTTATTCCAGATTTACACTTGTATACTGCATATCCTTTGTTTCCTACAGCATCGTTTCTCAGAATGTCTCAATCCAGTTAGTTATACCGGAGTTATAGAAATATTGTTCTTGTCCTGCTTTCAACTTCCTGTGCATTTACTAATTTTTCAAAAATCTTTTCAAGGGAACAAGTGTTTCAAGAAAACAATTCTACTCTGAAAAGTGACTCCCTGTAAATGGCATCATGGGGCTTCTGGCCAGATGCAACTGTAATAAAATAACTGGAGAGTAGACACTACCTTTTAGGACTGTGGGTAGCTCGATTTTTAGCATATATTTGGGTAGATGGTATACTCTGGAGGACTAAAAATGAGGTTGCAAGGAAGGATTCCTGAGTTCTAATGCAGGTCTTATGACTGACTTGCTGGCCTTGGGCATGTCATTCACTTCTCTGCCTCAGTTTCCCTATATGTAAAAAGAGGATAATTATTCTTACTTACATCACAAGTATGTGTGTGTAGCTTGAAACCATGATGTCTTTAGTTTCTGTGTAATGTACCTTTAAATTTGTGAAATATGTGCATTACACAACAGCATCCATTTTGTATTTCGAGTGATTCCAGCCTATTATAAGGGAGATACATACACTGTGCTCTCCTTTGCAGGGATCTTATTTTTGTTCTACCGTGTTTTGTTTTCCCATAATCTAAAATAAAAGTCATTCAAGGTTTGCTTTTTTTAATAGCAAAGCAGCACCCCAGAGTAGTGTTGGCAGAATTTTATAGAATCATAGCTATCATAGAAATGTAGGGCTGAAAAGGACCTCAAGAGGTCATCAAGCCCAGCCCCATGCTCTGAGGCAGGGCCAAGTAAACCTAGAGCATCCCTGACAGGTGTCTGTCCAACTGTTCTTAAAAACCTCCAGTGATGGGGATCCTTTGGAAGCCTGTTCCAGAGTTCAACTATTGTGACAAAGTTCTGTCCTTAACTCCATGGGTCCTGCATTTCCTGACAGATTTTTTGCTAGCCTCAGAGGCTCACTGTGACCCTCCACATAGCCCTTCTCTCTCTAGAGGCAAGGGTCACAGTCTACTGAGCCATTTTCATCATAAGCCAGCAAGGGAGGTGAGGAGAAACAACCCTCCCTCACAAAGTCTCTGTTGTCTCCCAGTATCAGTGATTAATCAGGGAGAGGAGCCCAGGCCCACCCTCTACTCCAGGCTCCAGCCCAGGGACCCTAAACTTAGCAGCTATGAAAGCTGACTTTTTGGAAATAGGGCATGTACAATTCCCTGGGCTACTTTCCCACAGCAGCCCCCACTCAATATCTTCTTCACAATTACCTCAGGGCCTCCTTCCTTGCACCTGATATGGATTCATACTACTTCAATCCTCCAACAGCACAACTCACTCCTGGCACCCACCCCACACTGACTAACTGAGAGGCTTTTAACTAGTTCCAGCCAGTCCTTAATTGGCTTCAGGTGTCCCAATCAATCTAGCTGTCTCTCCTGCCTTCTAGAGGATCTTAATTGGCCCCAGGTGTCTTGATTAACCTGGAGCAACTGCCATTTGGTTACTATGGTACCAGGGATTTGTTTAGCCTGGGGCTAACATACCTGTTCCTCACTACTTTACTGTAGCCATCTGGCCTTGCCCCATCACACTATCCTTATAGTTAAAAAGTTTTTTCCTAATATCTAACCTAAATCTTCCTTGCTGCATATTAAGCCCATTACTTCTTGTCCTACCTTCAGTGGACATGGAGAACAACTGATCACTATCATCTTTATAACAACCCTTAAGACATTTGAAGACTGATATCAGGTCCCCCGTCAGTCTTCTTTTCTAAGACTGAACATGCCCAGTTTTTTAACCTTTCCCCATAGGCCAGATTTTCTAAATCTTCTATTATTTTTGTTGTTCTCCTCTGGACTCTCTCCAATTTATCCACATCTTTCCTAAAGTGTGGCACCCAGAACTGGATGCAGGATTCCAGCTGAGGCCTCACCAGCCCGTGTCGTACCTATGACACTCCCTTTAATTCACCCCAGACTATTAGCCCAGAGGTCCCCAAACTGTGGGGTGTGCCTCCCTAGGGGGGGCATGAAGGAACATCCAGGGGGGAGCAGTGGGGCCTGTGCCAGCCCCCATAGATTCCCTTATCCCTGGCCGCGTCCCACCTCCCCCAGAGCCGTGGCCCCGCTCTCGGCCCCTGCTTTGGGGAGGGTGGGGGAGGCAGGAAGGGGTTAAGGGGGTGCAACCCTCAAAAGTTTGGGAACTGCTGTATTAGCCTTTTTGCAGCTGCATCTCGTAAT